GAAGAGAAATTCATTATTTATTTGGCAGGCAGCAAAATAAAATAGAAAATGCAAATACAACAAATACAATTGTCGGAAGGACGGCCAGGATGGTGGACTATCAGGGTGGGAGGTGAAATTCTGTGGTGTTCAAAATCGTTTTTTGAGTTTTGCTTTTGCTGTATTTTTTGTTGCTGCTGTGTGGTAAAAAAGTTTTCTAATTAAAACAACAACTGACAACGTAAAATTGTCAACGTATTTGTGTAATACAAACGCACATACACAGATTAACAACGAGCGGGCATACTGTGAGCCGCAGCAAGGGCCACGGCTCTACTTTGTACCCGGTACTCAGCATATGATTTTGGTAATTTAGACAATATATTTTATATGTCATTTGGTATTGCTGTTCGCAAAAGGGACAAATTGATTAACTTTATAAAAAACGGTCGAATCGTTTGGGAGATTTTTAATTATTTGATTTAATCGATTTCCATTTCACAAAATTTGTTTCTCCAGATCACGCACACGAACGGGGTAGCGTGTGTGAGAGAGAGAGAGAGTAAGTAAGCAATTCATTTGTTTGTTTTGGCTATAATAATGATCGTATCTGATTCATATTCAGCAATCCGCTAGATATGCTCATTGCTCTATGAATTTGCTGATATTGCCAGACTCGGTTATTCATGCTGATAAAGAATATATACACATTATGGGGTTGGAAACACTTGTTACACATATCCGTTTTCACCACAGATCTAATATACCCGCATTCCCGTACCGGGTACACACACATACACAGGTACAGATGCAGATGCACAGATACAAATATATTTGCTAACTACAAAATGCTTTGTTAAAACAACTTGTACAGAGCCAGGATGGATAGGAAAAATACACTCAAAAAATTTATTCTATCTGCTAGATACGAGTGTAAGGAAATTTCTCTAAAAGGGTATTTGTATGAATTTAGACGGTAACCTCTTTATATAATTTTTACGTCGATTTTCTAGATTTTGTGCAGCTGTTTTTTTTAGTGTACGACGGGTACAACTGTCCTGAGCGTTAGATGTACCGCTAAAGAGTGAGACTGTTGGAGGGATAGATGGGGAGCGGTTCTTATTGTTAGCAGTTGCTAGATTAGTTTGACTTTTTTGATTCCCTCCAATGCACTCCCCGGCCGCAACCCATCCTGCTGGCCAAAATGTAAATGTGCAGCGAACCGGACGAGGCAGTGAGAAGCACAACGGAGAGTCGCAAAATTGTCAGTTGATGATGGCTAAAACGGGAATGGTAGCCAAAAAAAAAAGAGAGCACCGGCAAAAAAATAGGATCCGACAATTGTTTACATGTAAATTACCTAAGAATAACAATCATCAAAATAAACAGAGCCCAAGGCAGGAGAAGCGGGAAATTAAACCAAAGCTTGAGCTGGTCAATGCCGTAATTAGCTGCCTTACGCTTTCTTCTTGCGGTTGATAAAACGTTACTCCCTATGAACGCTTTAACCCCCATTGAAAGGGGAGCTAAGATTGCAATCACGAAAGATTGTGAAAGCAACAAAAATTAAGTTTTTAGGAAACATTGACAAGAGAAAAAGCTCTTTTTCTAGAATAAATCTAACAAATACCCCCCAAACAGTTGACCGAACAATTTGTGTAGAAAAGTTACAAGTTTATATTTCAGTATTCAGAAGTATCACATGAGAAAGCAGCCCGAACAATTCCACGGAAATAATTCAACATTTATATATTATTCAAACATTCTCTTTTTATATCGACGAAAATCTATTCAATACGAATCTTTTGGCCGAGAATACAGCCCCGCCGTCTTCTTCAGATCATAGCTCACTGTCACCCTCTCCGCCAGCATCAGGGCGGTCAACGACTAACTTTGATTTCCAGGAGGATCAAGATACATACACAGATTGTGAGGAGCCTCTACCCATGATGCTATAGGCCGTTGCAAATAATTACCAATCATATTGAAGGCCTTGGGGGAACTAGCTGGCTGCGATTACACTCACGATATTGCTCGTTAGGGGCAGTCGAAGCGGCTGGTGCGCGTTTATGTCGATGGTATATATGATCTCTTCCATCATTGACAAGCCGGCCAGCTCATGCAAGCAAAGAACATGTTTCTAAATATCTATTTAATTGTTGTAATTTGCAATGATGAGCTGAATCGAATATTAAGTGAAGTCGCGCAGTGATGACCGTCCTTAAGCGCTACGAGGCAGTGCGCCAATACCACTACGTGGATGAGGTGAGTGTCAAAGATGCAAAAGGAGCAAGGGAGATCCCTGATCATCTCACCTATCCACAGATTATTCCGAGTGCTTCCTGGACATTGACCTATGACCATTAGAACATTTTGTTGCACAGGATAACATTTCGTATCGTCAAGAACTACGATATCATGTGCGTCGCAAAGGCTAAGGGCTTCATCACTGCCGCATTGCTACAAGCTTTTGGAGCCATTCGTTTGCACTCGATCTGGAACGATTCGACGGGCATAATAAAGTGCGCCTGATAAGTTAGGTTGACGCGGACGGCCCTCAGCGGGGCCCCATAGTGTTTATGCAATTTTATGGTCCTCGAGAATCGAGATGTTTTTCGCATAGGCTGTGGCATCCTCTTCCAGTGATGCCAGCACCGATGCGGCCAGGTATTTTATTCTTGTTCCCCAAGTTCATCACATTTCCTACATCTGCGCCGCAGATGACTAGGAGCGGGCCCTGAGTTATCAGAGGAAAGCTTGCAGATGCGTTGGACCTATACCTCTACAGCCAGGAGGCGATAAGATCCATGCACTAGATGCTCAGTGCGGATCTACTGGGCGGTCGTCCTGGCTGGCCAGATTACAGACCGAAAGCAGGTGGAGGAGTACCACCCCCTGCAGATTTACCTGCGCTATTCGCTGTCAACTCTTTCCTCTCGGTCACGGGTCGGCGTTTTCCTTCACATAGGTCGCGGTTCGCTCGATCTCGTCTTTTTCCTGCGCAGGCACGACAGTCTCGTACGGCACTCCAACAATATCGCTCTCTCGCTTGTCCCCAGCTCCCAGCCGGCATTCTCTCCCGTTGGGATGGTCTGGCTGTCCCGCTCTCGCCCTTTCTCGTCTTCCACCGGTGTAGACGAGAAAGGTCGGGAGCGTCGGCAGACCCTCTAACCTGCGTTATTCGCCGTCAACTCTGTCCTCTCGCCCGTGGCCATGGCCGGCGTTTTCCTGACGATCGTTGCTACACTCCTTCCTCCTGCACTCTTTCCGTTCACATAGGTCACGGTTCGCTCGATCTCGATTTTTTCCTCCGCGGGCACGACAGTCTCCAACAAAATCCCCCAGCACCTCGCATTCTGCTGGCTCTCCCGTTTGGGTGGTCTGGTTCTCCCGCTTCCGCCCTTTCTCGTCTTCCACCGGCGTCAGGGCTTCGTTGTTGTCGCTGGTGTCTACCGTGATCACGGCTTTCCCCTCAGGCCACTTTTCCAGTCTTCGCGTCTGATGTCGAGGCGACATGTTTCTCGTTTCCTCGACCACCAGATTCCACAGGAGGGACGACAGGCACTCAGGTGTGCCCCAAGCGGTGCTCCACTCCTCCTCAAACTCTGCACTCTCAGCCTCCTCGATGACCGGCAGGATCAGGCGCTGCTGGATGAGGAAGTCGACCCAGGCGATTTGTTATTGCGTTCGTATCCACGTTATTAAATGCTCCGGACAATCTGAGATTATGAAATTTGTTTACTACGAATTTGTAGTTCGAGTATGCTCTCAGCATTAATTGAATGATTATACCGTATACGTACAGCTTAGCAAAATGATTCCTCAAATATTGATCGCGTACATGTAAATGCCATTAGTAGCCAACATTTAAATGAGATCATGCGGGAGATTCAATATCTAATTAATGATAAAATCACATGTTTTATACCTATTATCCAATTAGAGATCATTTCGAAAAGCTTGCAGAACTTTCAAATCAAATATAATCTGTGATTTTTCCGGCCAACCCCTCATACTACTTTCCTTGCATTACCCTTAGCTCCTTTTTCCCCCTTAGCAAAAATTCCTTCCAAACCGCACAGGGAAAAGTTTTCATTTTGGCTTCAATCAAATTAATTTGTTTATTAGGAACAGAGCAAATACTCACTCACTCGTCCTGCCTGCCCTTCCCGTCCTGCCTACCAATCACACTCCCACTTGCACTCGCACTTCCCCCGTACAGTAGTGTCTGTCTAGTCGAATGAATCATCATTTTTATTATTACGTATACGCCCCGGTGGCAGAGGTAATGGCATGGTTTCTGGCTCAGCTCCCTGCCACTTTTCCATCATTTGCAGCGCAAATTGGTGTTGTTATTGTGCCGATTGTTCTGCGGCACCAGCAAACACACACACACACATTTACACACAAAAGAGAGCGAGAGAGAGAGGGAGAAAAAGAGAGTGGTAGGAGAGAGGAAAGGGGCAACAAAAGTTATTATTATTTTAACAATTTTCCAACTCTTTCGCGCTTGAGCGGCGCCATCGAAGGTCGCGTTATTCGAAAGCAATTTGTTGAAATTAAATTTGATTACGTTTATGGGGCGCCAGCTGCCAGCAATTCTGTCCAAAACTTTCATCCGTTTCGGCCGACCCCGAGCCCCAACAACTCTTTAATCGCTCGGTAATTGCCTCAAATTTTCCGACCAACAAAGGTCGGTTGCCAAGCCCCGATCGAAATGAAAAGCTCCACTCAGACTTTCTTTATTCCTATCTCTCTTTCCTGTAGCTGTCTGACAGTTGGTCTTGGACTTGGTCTTGGACTTGGTCTTTGACTTGGCCTGGTTCTTGCACTTGGTTAGGGACAGGCACATTCACAGGATAATTAAGCATTTCGAGATAAATGTTTTGTCAAACAAAATGAAATTAAGTTTCAGCCGTGAACAGCTCTAGGCCAAGCCAAGCCAAATTAATGATTCTTGCCATCCGAGGAAGCAGACTTGGAGACATCAACAACTCAACAACTAATAGATTGCTCTTTCTTTATTTCAATAATTTCTCAGGGAAGGTCAACGCACTCGAACTTTATGCAAAATATATTTAGTTTCTTATTGAGGGAGACTCAATTACTGGGAAGTCATGTCGTAGTTCTCATTGATATTCTCTATATAGGGATTGGCTCTATCGCTGGCAAACTCACGCCTCAAGTCCAAATCGGGGACTATTCGTACCTTGCGCATATTTTTGTCTACAGGATGTGGGAAAATCAAGTTAGTATAGTTGCTCTTTAATGATTGAATAAAGCTACCTTGTGGTTCATCGACTTTTTCTTGCTTATGATCTTTCAGCAGTAGTTCTTGCTCCTCCTTCTTTTCGTCTGAGTTCTGATTCACAGGCGGATTGGTTGCATTTTTATACCCTAGTAGATTTTTGTTTACTGGGGTATTCTCTGATTTCATCCCTGCATTATCTTTGTCGGCCATGGCAACAACCGCACTGATAGCTACGAAAGATTTAGTAGCATTAGCACACCTTTTGATCTAACTATGGCCCTATTTGAACCTACGATCCGTAAGCTGTGCAAGCTTATCCATCCACTCAACGCCAACTGCATTCGGATCCCCATGCAACTGCTTATGATACGCTTCAATCAGGCCCTGGCGATTGATCAAACCTGGAAAATGATTTTATATTATATGGACAAAAATTCAGAGCTTCCTCCTTAGGGATTGCCTTACCCCAAAGAGTGGCCAGGATCAACGCGAACAGAATGAAGAGGGGAACAAACATACGCGAATCAGGATTCATTCTCGGATGATCTTCGGAAAGCCGGACTTAAAATATATCAATATATTATAATTCTTATTTTTCTGGATTTTTCTACTGTTGATTCTGAACTAAATAAAACTGATTCGGGGATTGAGTTGAGTTTCAAAGAAAAGCCTAGGGAAAAGTGTTCGCTTTTCTGAAGTACTCGTTTTTCCTTGCTAATCCGTTTCCGCTTAGCCCTAGCCCTCTACCGTTTCCTCAACGCTTTGTAGCGCTTTTGAGCTTTCTCGGCCACAATTTTGCTTTATGCGGCTGACCACCTTCGCCCCCGCCCCCGCCCCCGCCCACGCGGCCGCTCTGGCGTTGGTACAAGTTGCCAAAAGTTAAAGTTTTTGTGGCTTACAACAACAAGAGTGGATGCCCCATCAAGTGCCACGCCCGCACACAAGTGCCCTGAGTGGGAGTCCCACTTGCGTAAACGTTTACCAAGAAGAGAAAAGGGAACAGACAGAGGGGAAACCAACAAAAATGTTTCTCTCCAAGGGGAGGGCTAACTAAACACAAACGGATGTGTAGATATTCCCTTAAAATCCAACAACCCCTCGCCCATTTCTCTCTTCAATATTTTAAAACCCAAACAATTTTTACGGCAAATTCATCTCAAAATACAAAATAGAACCACAAAAAATGGACGGAACAAAATTGAAAAATTCAAAATGAAATGTTTGAGGTTTGCCAAAAATATTTTCAGCATTTCAGTGTGTAAATAGTGGAATATTGTTGCAGTTGCTGTTGGTGCACACACGCTGGGACATTCATCCATATGTGTACGAAAATGTGGGAGAGTGTGCCCAAAACCAGCCCAAATGTCTAAAGTTGTTGCCACTGCCTATCCAGCTCTTGTGCCATTCCCCTCGAAAGGGGGGCGCTACTCTTTATTAAAATGTCAAGTTAAGGGGGCTGGGGATAAGAGCCCCGGAGAAGCCGAAGGTCTCGGCAATAAAACGGATTCTAGCATTTGTCAGCCCAGGCTGATTGTTGCCGTTGTTGTAGCCATTAAACGCAGTCCTCAGAAGGAGAGATGAGGAGGTGAAAGCAAAACAAAAAGCTGGGCTAGCAAAATGGCAACTGAATACGGATTCGTATTGGGAGCACTCCTCTTTGTCTGCCAGTTAAAAACATCTTAAAAGCTACTTTTAACCACAATTATGTAAATATTAACACAAACAAAACATAAGACAAAAGCACAACAGCCCATAAGGAACCTCACACAGATACTCACTCAGACACCCAGAGGAGGCACCGACAAAGATACAGATGCACACGCACCCACATTCAGTGACAGCGACATCTGTGGGTGAATGACAAACTGTGATTCGGCTGACATTAACTGTGACAGCCACACCATCAAGTGGAGATCGTTGGACATAGCATCTATAATAAAGATAAGGATTAAAGTGTTCGACATTATCCAAACGTTTTCGTTATTTATCCAAAAAATAATCAGATTTAACAGTGCTCAAAAGCTAAATTCCTGGAAAGCTAAAAAAGGTACTGAGAAGTTAAATGACAAACAGTGAATGAAGTCACGCTGTGCGACTCACCACTAGAGCCATAGACTGTCATAGGCAGAACAACAGGCAGCTCCAAGTGCGGAGAAGGATGGCCAGGTAGGAAGTAGGGGCCCCAGAAGCAACCAACGGGCAACACACATGAAGCCAGCAAATGTCTAGAGTGTCGACAACAGAACCATTAGCATCTGGATGAGTGCAAATACGCACTCCCGCCCCCACAAGATGGCCTACCCCTGCCCCTACCCCAGGCCGCCACTCGCCCAGTCAGGTGTTCAGTTTAATGTCGAAAGTGTGGGCGTATGTGAGTGTGAGTGATTGTATCTTTGTGTGTGCTCAGTGTGTATAAAGGGAGAGTGTGAGAGAGAGAAGGAGCGGTGCAATACCCAAGACGGAGGCAGACTCCGGCAATGGTAATAAGCAAAGCGGGTCGGGTCAAATGCTGAACAGGCAAACACTGGTGCGGGGTAGCTACGAGAGCATTATTATTGAAAACTGTTAGACTTGACAGAAGGTCACGTTTTGTCAAGCCCAGTCAGTCAGTCAGCCAGTCAGCCAGCCAGTCAGTCAGTCACTCAGTCGGTCATTCATTCATTCATTCTGCCAGAGAGTCAATGAAACGAGCAAAAGAAATGCAAAAATGCACAGACGACAATCCGTTTTCATGGCTGATTTAACAAAGTTTGGGATGCTGGAAATGCCACGACAGAGAGGATGAAGATGAGACCCAGACTGGTGTATGCGGTGGAGGAGGTGGGCGACAAACAAGAAAATGGATTTAAGGACCACAAGGCAAACCTTTTAATACCCTAACCAAAGGATGTCCCAAAGAATAATTATCTTGAGCTAACCAAAGAATTAATACAGGAATGCCGGATATCATCATTTAATGTTATATCAATGAATATCAGAGACTTGCCAAGGAACAGCAAACAGTAATACCCGATGATTATGCAGACATAATAACATTACATTCGTTATATAACATAAGCTGATATCATGAGTCAACGGACTCCGCCAATCTCGAGAAGAGGGCATCCACACAAGCCAGCGTGACATTGATAAAATGCGAAATTGACTAGAGTCTGTATGGAATCGAGTTCATTGATAAAGAATTCAGCTTTCTCTACGGCCAGCCGGCCAGCATATGGAAAACGTAACTCCGTAAAGGAAACGCGGCAAGGAAGCTGCATCTTCTGCTCACTTGTTGCCAAAAGAAGAATGGAAATTATTTCATTGCAAATATATATACGTACACGAGCAGGGTCTGTGAGTGAGCAAAGAGAATCGAAACCAAAATCACATTAAGCCACCCAAAGAATTGAGAATTGAAGGGAGAGAGGTAAGAGAAGTGCAATGGGAAAGGGCAGGAGATGGAAGGGGTTAGGGTAAGCGCTGGCGGATAGCGATAGACAGGATGACGGGGGGGTCTGAATATCTGCCCAGTCCCGGTTCCAACAGCAGATCCAGTCACAGTGGCAGTCACACAAATGCCAATCCAGTCACGGGGTCTAAAAATCAAAAATTTGAATTTCGATCACGTCTTCAATTACGTCGAATCGACGTGCATATAAATCAACTCTGTAACAGGCCACACACACATACACTGTCAGATGCCAGGAGGTGGCGGGTTTGGGTGTAGGGTAGAGCGTTGGACTGGCAGTCAGTCGTCAGTCAGTCAAATGTGGTTTTGTTGCTGTGCCCCTCAGTACACTTGCCTCGTTGTTGCGTTGAGTTTTGTAAATCAAGTGGAAATGCCACACAAAAAAAAAAAAAGATAGGAGAATCGGGAACGGGAACGGGAATGGGAATGGGAATGGGAACAGGGATAGGAACAGGAACAGGCAGGAAGCGGAGCAGAATGATGATGATGATCCACACGATGATGGTTGGTTGGTTGGTTCGTTGGTTGGTTAGAGTTGGGGTTGGAGTTGGGCAAAAGCACAACCAAGTCAGAGTCAAGAGCTGGAGTGCTGATGTGGCACAAGTGTGTGGGTGTGTCTGCGTGCGGGGCACTCATGCAAAGTGCAGTTGACATGCGGAAATTGTAGGTGCGCGGCTCCCGGTCACGCCCACCACAGTAGCTCACCCCACTTCAAGGACGGCATATGTCGGATGTACCGACTGAAACTTAGCTTTAACTGAATTAAAAATTGGCCACAAAATGTTGGCCCCAAAAGTTAGACCACCGAAAAGCTGAAAGGAAATAGTCTCTCAGCAGGGGACAGCCTTTCCGAATTATTTTGGATTAAAAATTTAAATTTCTGGCCAAGACATGCAAGCGGGAGCTTGTTGTTCAATTTCCCCCCATCACGCTGATTATCCGTGACAGCTATCGAATCCCTGCCACGCGCACACACACACACACTCGCAATCCCAAAGAGGAAAAGAGACGGAGATGTACACACTCTCAGCAATGACAACATGTCCTGTTGTTGCTGATGTTTGTCGGGAATTTGATTTGATTTCCACCAGCAACTGCAACAGAATGGGGCACGGAGAATGGGGCATGGCAAAAGGCGTACGGTGGCAACGAAGTTGTCCTCGTCAATGTTGGCACTGCAACCTCCATTTTCATCTATCCCTTAGATCCTGCCGCCCCTCATCCTTCTCCTCCTCCTTATACTCCTCCTGCTGCTTCTACTGCCACTTCTCTGTGAAATATCCTGGCCCTGCCATTCGCTTGAAATTACTGACAACTGCTTCAAGCAGCAGCAAAGTTGGATTTGCATGGCCCCGAGCAAGCAGCCTGTCTCTGTGTAAGTGTCTGTCTCTCTGTGTCTGTGTCTGTGTCTGTGCCTGCGTGCGTATCTACACATGTGTGAGTGTCTGCATCTCTGTGTGTGAGAGCTGTCAGTCATTGGCACAAGTGCACATATCAGGGTGATTCACTCCATTAAGAAAGCACATTTATCTATATCTATTGAAGGTTATGCTGTGCCTGTGGAAAACTACACTGTGAGTTTAATAAATTATATTTAAAATTTCGAAAATTCTTTAAAGTGATTCACCCTATTGTACACACGTAACAAGCCCAACCGAAAAAAAGCAGCCTTGCTACACATGCATTTGTCTGAGGCACAGCCTCATTCCACCTTCCAGCTTCTGCCTTTGATGTCAGCATGGGGCATGGTGGCTGGAGTGGAGTGGAGTGGAGAGAGAGAGCAGACGACTGTGTGACAGCTTTCTTGAGATGCACTTCACGTGCATTTGACTGCTTAAATAAATTTGGCTCATGGTAATAAATTCACTTAAACTCAAACTGCATGGAAGTCTTAGTACTAGTACTAGTACAGTCTTCATCCCCCCTAGCACCACCACATTCACCCACACACCCAGACAACGAGGGGAAAGGGGGAATGCTGTGGAGGTCTTTATAAGACTTTTTGTTTAGACACTCATAAACATAATTGACGTCATAAAAACAGACAGCAGCAGCAGCAGTAGCAGCAGCAACGACAATGACATAATGTCATGTAAATCTGTGC